ATATTAAGTTTTAATAAATTTTTCATTCACTATTAAAATGTATAACTATAGTTTACAATTATGATTAAAAACTTTTACTAGAGAATATATTAATACTTTCAATAATCAGCTAGAATTAGATTTACATTGATTTGTGATGCAATTTACTAATAAAGTAAATACTGATACCTTTTTTAGGGATTTTACTTCTATGAATACTGATTAAATGAGTTATTTATACAAAATAATAGAAATTGTTATCATGTACACGTGAAAATTCTTTACTATAAATGATAATATAGATGAATGTTAATACTACCTCTTGTCCTTTAGCACAATATCCTTGCAAAAATTCCCTGCAAATTGGAGTACTGGAAGAAACTTTAATATGGCGATAAGGACAACCATCTCTGGTACAACAACCTTCTAAAAAATATTTACAAGTTGGCATCTTTTCAGGGCCTACATCATGAGATAATGGACATTTATCCAATAAACAATTTCCTTGAAGAAATCTGAAAATATTTTACTTTTACTTCACTTTTTTCAGATATTGCACTAACGGAAAAAAATAAACTTACTTTTTGCAAAGGGAAATTTGCTTTTTATCATGACGTTTTAGACAAATTCCTTTTTCATGATTCGAACAGTATCCAAATCGTTGAAATATTAAACACGGCTGATTGTTTTTCTGCATTTTATTACGTAATATTTGTATACTTCTCTGTTTAACTTTATTACTACAATTAAAAATTTATTGTTACAAATGTAAGAGAAAGATACTAAGTTTTTACGAAACACAAAGATAGATTAATTCTGAAATAGTACATGTAAAGCATTGTATACCTAATGTTGGTTTTATAATTAATCTTCTGTGACAAATTAGACGAAAGTTTTGTGCCATTAGTTTTGTTAAGTATTTTCATTCTGGAATTTTCTAATGTTTCTTTTAATGGTTTTATCCTACATAACTTTTTCCCATTTGTAGCTACAATAAATTTATCACTTTTTATGTTCGTTATACGTTTTTCTATAATAAAACAAAAAATTGTTAAGCAGTTATATATCTTTCTTGAATAAGTAACACCGGAAAACACATTACTACTTACTTTTTACTCCATAGCTTTTACGTACTAACTGATTTTTGGAAGATTTATAGACAATTCCTCCAATTGTAATTAATTCCATTTTTTTATTCCTATAATTATAAAACTATAATTTATAATCTATAGTTTAATATTATCAAACCATACAAATCGCACATTATACGTACATGACTTTTTTCTGTGTTTGGTTCGAGTGCTCTTTAATGCTTATAGTTTTCGGTACAGTTCTGTCTATTCTGTATTTATTTATCTTAGATTTCACAGTCAGTGATTTTGTAGAACTTGCATCTTTGTTAACTGATTGTAATAAACCTGTTTTTGTTTTAACAGTTTTGTAGGAAGAAAATTTAATATTTTTTATCACATTCAATGATTTCTTAATTTTGTGAAATTCTGTTTGAGGAGTGCTTAAGGACTTTTTTGAATTCCGTCTTACACGTACAAGTTTTCTTTGAGATAAGAGTACAATATTAGAATTATTAGTTTTCCTAGGGCTATGGATATTTTTTAAGGAAGTCACATTTTTAACCAATTTTAATCTTGAACAAACTGGATGATTAACATTTTGTATTACTGTTTCTTCAGGTTTAACTGATTTAGGCTGTATTGAGGAAGACAACTTTTTCATTAATTTTGGATTTACGTGCACCGATTTCTTTAAGGAATTTTGATTTTGTAAGAAATTATCTTCAGTACTTGTTGCTTTGCTTATAGAATCAGTTTTCACATTTTTATTAGAATTAATAACGCTTTTCATCATTTTTGGATTAACATGTACTAAAGATGTTTCTTGTAACCTTGGATTGATATGTATGGAAGAATTTTGAGGTTTAAAGTTTGGATTAATGTATACATTAGTAGTTGTTACTTCGTTGTGTGAAGTATTATTATGATTACTGTAAGATGGTTGATATTTATGAACTAAATTTGTATAGTTCAAAGATTTTGTAAAACCTAAATGTGGATTCAAAAAAGTTTCTTTCACGCAACAAGATTTTTCTATAGATTTCTTTTTATGGTGTTCTATTAAACCTGAAACATATGAAATTATTGCTTCATTGTAAATATAAACCTAAATAAAACAAGTAATATGATAAAAGGTTCTTTAAACATTTAACACTTTTTATGCTTTGTTTTATGCAATGAATTCTGAACGAATAGGAAGTTTTGTTTTTCGTTACATATAACATTGAAACAGTTATTCAGAATTTGAAACTTACTTGTTAAATAATGAATTTCTTTTAATAAACTTTGATCCATATTTAATCGTCCAACAATATGTTTCTTGTAAAGTGTAATTAAATTAATGAACGAAAAAAATACAGGAATAACAACTTTTGTGATGCAACAATTTTCTTCACAAATTATGCTAGTTGTTACACCATGAACATTCGCGTTACTACTTTAGAAACAAATTAATTAAATACCAATCATTCATGGAAGTTGCAGCTGTAACACCACTGGTGTAGAATAAACAAACTATTTTACATTATGGTCGAATGGCGGGAACTTTTGATTTGAATTTGCATTCTTTTGAGTATTTAAATATTTTCTTATTAAAGCATTAATTTCCACCTATGCAAAAGTAAAATACACATATTAAAAGTCCCAAAATTTCTTTTTTATAGCCTATTGGGATTTGTTTTTATCAGAAAAATAGTTCCTATCGATTCGTAATCTTACCGATTAAAAAAAAACTCAATTAGTTCTGCGTTATAATGTTGTCTTTTCTTCGATTCGCCCCTTTTGCTTCTTGGTCCGATATTTACTTGGCATACTGCTACTTATGTATAGTTTAAGTTATTCGTTAAAGCTAAACTAAGTTAGAATTAAGCGTGCGAAAGAAGACGTCGATCGCCTGCCCTGGGATACTTCATTCCAGGCTTAAGAAAGAAAACTGCCGCCGCACAGTGGGGTATTTGCCCGATCTGAGCGGTTACAATTAAAGAAAGGTTTACATCGATTTTTTACAAGAAAACATGAAAATGTAATATAATAATATACAATAATATGTGATTATGTAGACCGAATTGTAGATCGAATTGAAAAATATTTACCTAACACACACGTTGCGACATCTAATAATAAAAGAGTCAAATTGTGTCTTGATTGCGTCAGAATTATGTGTTATTTTTAAATGGTTTGCTTTAAAGCTTTGTGATTTCTCGATTATCGAAATAAAGTCCAACAAATATAAATTGTTCAGTAACTTGTCTAACGACCTGAAGGGGTAAGTGCGGCAAGGAGACAGTTTCGATTGCTTTTTATTGGCTGATTCGCGTAAACGAAGATCGTAAATGAAACAGAATGTGACAAAGTGAGATACAACGATAAGGAATGAATATGGGCGTCAAACTTCTTATTTGTATCTCCCTTTTACAGAGATTATATAATTGGATAAGGTCTATCCTGTCTATCCTCTCTGTCGTAGGTATCGGTGGCCTAACCTTTCTCATGTCGGCAATTAGATGTCTAGTCTGCCTTATCACTTGTCGGTAATAAAACATCTGATTTTTTATACAATCGGTAATTTATTATAACATATCGGTATTATACCAACAATATAATACCGATGTTTTATTACCGAAAAGTGACTAGACATCTAATTTGTAAATATAAACATATTTCAATCAATCAGATTGTACGTTGAAACACTGATGATAGTACTTCCACAGTTCGTATTATTCATAAAATCAGATATTTAATGAACACATAACTTTATCAAATATTCTTATTTATTAAACTGTATATAACATATAAAAAGATTATTCACATCTATATATTGATATGTGTTGCAATAGATTACATGGTTTCTATGAAGTTCGTATAAAAATAGTAACTGATTATTGTTCCTATATTAGATTTTCCCCGGTTTTTGGCAAACTGGACTTTCCTCTTCTTTACTGGCGATTTGTTTGTCGCTTAAACTTAAGAAATGCGTCAAGTGAAGGATGGATATAACGCTGGACATATATGATTGCACATCCTCCTTCTTTACAGTCTTCAGTTGTGCTGCAACCGAATGATACACTCGATTTGCTGTTTTCGCCGATAATTGGCCGATCGTCTGTACAGCGTGCAAAACTTTGTTCTCGTCAGCAGATACAGGCACTGTAAAATAAATTTTATATATTATACATACTTACATGCATTTAATTATATGTACTATTCTACTGTGATCTTGATTATATGTATAAAATAATCAAAAAAATCCATATGCATCTTTTTATTTTTTAGATAGAAAACACTCATGTTTTAATAATATCTTGTAAATAGAGTGGAAAGTCTACTCCTCCCTTTTTCAAACTTTCTCTCCATCCTGTATCATTAAAGTCAGAGTTTATATAATTTTATTGATTAAAATCCATGTTCAGTTAAGTGTAGCGCTCTAAATTTGAAGAGGATATTTCTGAGCATTTAGACCATGTAAAATGGAAATTGGAGGAAAGTACATGTCATAAGGAAATTTACACATTAGTATACAATCTCCTAAAAAGTTGAAAATAGTTTGAATCTAACAAAAAATCATTAATTTAATCGTTTCATTTTGTAATTCCTTTAACAATGAATACAATAAAGTTTCTTTTACGCCTGATAAAACATTTTCTTTTGCAGAATTTCTGTTTATTACAGTTTCGATCATTGAATGTTTTAATTGTGTATGAGATTTTTTTAGTTTATTCTAATTAAGAGTGGCTGTATTAATCTCGCAAAGAATCTGTACCTGGTGAATCTTCTTCTTCTCCTTCAACCGGTGGGAAGTAGCGGTCTAACAAACCATTAATGAGAACACTTGTGTTATCCACACCTTGTACGGCCATAGTGCCATATTGCGTGTTCAACAATTCATTGGCTTTTGCTATACTAACTTCCTTGAGTGTCGAGGCTTGTTGTGTCGCGGTTTCTTTCGCGGCGTGGAGTTTGTCAATTGTCGGTTGTAATGAACTGCTCATTACCGCTTTCGCTGCGTCATAAATCTGCGAAGGGAAATGAGTATTTAATAGTGATCTTCGTTTTCTCTTTTCGAAACCTATAACTGCAGCCACTTATATATTTCAATCCAATAAACCAACGTGATATCAAATACAAATTACCTAACAACTAACTGTGTACATTAAACAAATCATTATTACACTATATAAACTTTCTTATGTGATAAATTTATTCCGTATAATAATATAATCGCACATATTGTACAATTATACTTGCAGCCATTGAAAACTCGATAAATATTCTCTTTGCTAAATACACGTTCTTTAGAATCTAATTGAAGTATAAAATACAATCTTTCATGAAAATTGAATTAAAAAGATCAAAGACTAGATATTTCAAACATTTTAATTTATACAACTATGATTCTCAGCGCGAAATGTAATCTATTTATGCATTTGAGTTTCCCTAATTACCTGCTGAGGAGGCTGCTTCATAATAGGCACTTTCTGTTCAACGATATCTAAGCCTTCGCACAATTTTTGATCTACTGCTGTGATTTGGTCCTCGAATTTCTTAGCCAACGGCGCGGTGAGAGGCGCAGCTGTGGCGGTAGCATAATGAAGTCCGGCTTCGGCTTGAGTAAGGGCCCAGTTAATTAAATGATGCGAATCTTTCAAGTAGGAGTACGTGGATCCTGTTTTCTCGATCGCTGAGTGAATAACGGGAATATTTTTCACGCGATCAAACACTTCGAGATGCGGCGCGCCTTCGACTGTGATGCTACTTGTTTCTTTGGTCTCCGCCATTTTTCCTAAAAAATATAATACAACGTTTAAAATACAACTAATGATCGATCGAAGAGGAAACCAGGGTCAAAAGTAATATTGTAAACAATTCAAAATCTATTGTTGCCATATGTCCCAACTAAATGTAAATAATATACATTTATGTATATCTTCCGTTCTAATCCATAAATGTAATTATTCCCGGGATTATTTGTTGCTTGTATAATCATGATCTAATGTCAAATTGGCTACCTTTGATCCCGGCTACCTTTAACGCTTTTCGTTTGCAATATCGAGCCATTCCGTGCTACACATGTACAAAGGGTAGGATAAGGTGCATGTAAATTACATAAAGACAGTAATTTAGCATGCCGTTACGCAATTAATTTTCTAGAAGGTACATTGACCTCCAGCTGACAGTTTTATAAGAATTCCTATCTGTCACACTGTTAAGCACGTTTAAAAATAGAGGAGATCTTCCAGGAGATCTCTGTATCTTCAATAATTACGCAATTACTACGTTTTATCCGGCTTTACCGTAACTATATAATCGTAACTATAAGTTGAAAAGATTTGATCTTTTTTTTCTTTTTAATTTGATCGATATACTGGACGAGAAAAGGAAATATGACTTGTTGATCATTAAGGAAATATAAAATTGACTTAACATTTAATTTTTGTTTTACAAACATTTACATGACACTGATATTAATTGACAAATAATATCACATTAATTTTTGCTTTTCATTCAATCAATTTCTCGCTACTTCGAAATTCTCTACTTAATCTCTGTGACAATTAATAATAAAATAAAAATTGAAGTGTGAATTTCACAGGTATATTACGTAACAGAAATAAGCTCTAGCTACAGTGAGAAACGAATAAAAGGATTGCATTTTTCTTCACTTCTAGGATCGTGACATGTGCAATTACATTGTGAAATCACAAGAAATTTAAGTAAATTATGTAACTTTCGGCCGTGGCATAGTACTCAACTTGTTGCAAGATTATACGTGTAATTCATGACTCAACGGCTGCAACAGAACAGTTTTTCAGAATTATCTTTGTGTGTAGACTTCGGCCAGATGATGAATCACGTAGTAATTTGTGACAAGAAACATTCTTACGAGTGATTGATACAGTCGTATATCTGTTACAACGACTTTTTTATAACTATAATTTACGTTAATAGAGAATAACGGAGCCTTTCGCGCAAAATAGCGTAAGAGTGTTATATGAAAAAATTCAGACGAAACAGATATGTAAACATAACTCACAGGTACATATAAAATTCAAAATTATGAATAAGTTTATATTTATTTTCTGCAGTTATTTTCCGTGTACACTGATTTCAAAATATAATTTTGTAAAATAAGTACTTCTAAAAGTAGAAAAAAACTTATAACAAAAATAAAAAGTAACAGAAAACTAATTTCTCATTCGGCACGGCGCAGACACTAATTGAAGACGTTTCAGTTAATTTGAAAATCTTACGTGTTTTTACACATATAAAAGTCGAAGCTGTAAAAAAGCGAGTTCATTGCATTACGGACTTCGTTTCATCCTCTTTTATTCGAGTGAAGCCATTAAGTTTCTGTATTAATTCATGACATTAATTCTTGTCAGGTAAGTTTCTTTTTAGAGAAATCTTCGAAGTCAAGAAACACACTTTGCAGCGACCTCCGGTAGTAAACACTGATCGTGCAAACTGGTTAGATAAACATCACTGATAGGTACTATATGCTGTGTCGATCGAAAAACCTGTACGTTTTGTTCCGTATTTTTAATTTAATGTTTAAATTCTAGTTATGGTTCATATTATTGATAATTAATAAATATTAATAAAAGTCGATATATAATATCCAAATTTTATAATTAATTTTTATTTTCGATTATGCTGGCTCCGTTTTGCGAAAGAAAATTTGAACACTGTGATAGCTGAGTTATCGTGCACTCATGGGAATACAGGATTTGTCAAGTGAACATTAATTTTATCTTATCACCGTTTAATACCTCACACTTTCTTATTCAAATGTATTATATACCAAATGAACAAAACTAAAAATGTTAATTTAACGTAATCTATAAAGGTAGTTTTTAAGAAATATATCGTGCTATACTCCAAAATGGAATAGCAAAACAATTAAATGGAGTAATAAAAAGTATGTGTTTTATTTGCTTCCGATATTACCTTACTAATCTTCGTTATGAAATATACAAGCATTTTTCAACTATGTCCACAAGGGAACGACAGTTGTCCACGAAAAGTCTGAACCGCAAAAAAATTGCAAAAGAATAATACAATACTTTTCAAATATTTAATAATAATTATCAAAATTTACTCTCATTATTTTGTTTCAACACAATATTAATGATGTAATAAATTGTTTACACCGCTTGCTTCCATTATCATTTGTCACTCACCGTTTCATTTCAAACTGATAATTGTTTATCAACGTCAACAATGCAAAACATTCTTTACCGGCAAAATACTACGCGTCAGTAATTCTTTAAAAATGATTTACATAAATTAATTATTTCTCTTACGACGAATATTATGATTACGAAACAAAATGTTGAAAATGTTTTAAATTTGCATAACTAGAATTATTTGTTAATGACAGTTTGTTAGATATTATCTTGTACATGTTAGATCTTATTTTTTCGGTTTTAGTGAGTAGTTTTAATAAGTAAAAGTTTTCTGAGTAATATGTATTTTGAAAAAGCATATAATTTAAAAATATTCTTATAAGTTCAATATTTAACATGACAATAATTTTTAACTTTGGGTAAATCCTAAGTAACTGAAGAATATTTAGAGCAAAAGTAATAGATGGTTATTAAACACGATTGACGGCAAAATGTCTAGTTATCGATACGTAAACTAATTAAGGTAATGAATAATATGAGTGAAATTAGTTTGTGTACTTACCTGATGCAACAGTTAGCAGGACACGGTAACAGAAAAACTTTAACCTCGTCGACTAACTTGCACGACAGACTCAACAGCACTGATCACACGTACATACGGAAAGTTATAAAAAGAGATTGTGAATTGGTAGAGCGCAGACGCTCTTCAGGTGCGTAAAAATTGTGCGGTTCCAATATGTCTCCTCTATTCCGCGAACTTAACACGCAATTCAAAACAAGCACCAGAAAATATTACAAATACTTATTAGAATAATTTTAAAATACAGATGTAAAATATTTCATATCAACGTAAATTAAAGGTGAACATTCAACAAAAATATGTATAAAAAAAGACAAAAGACAGCAATATAAATTTTAAATCACGCGAGATTCAAAAATTCATTTCAAAATTTTTATTAAATGCGAATGAGAAGATTATTTTACTAAGAAGATTGTTTTACTAAACAATGAAAATTTACATTATTCTGTTCCACATTGATCTGCGATATGAGAAAAGTAGAACAAAAATACTCATAGATAAAAAGTAACGATGTTGATAAAAAGGAATAATCGTGTTTACAAGTATTATGAAAGGAATTTAACAAGATAATTTGTTAGTGTACAAAACTTAATTTTAGTACTGAAATTTTTTAAATAATTACTTCTAATATTTTAATAGTCTACTTCAATATACAAATAAAATCTAATTTCAGTTATTTCAAAACATAGAACAATTCGTTCCAATTATTCTAATATAAATCAATCTTTATACACAAGTTTTGTTCATACTTTGATAAATTGCAAATTAATAATCAAATTAGATTAAACAGAAGTTATTAAAGATTAATTGTGAGTTTATCTTTACGTAAAAATGAATTCATTTCTGATATAGATAAGCAGAGATCAAAGGTTAATCCACGTATTCCATACACAAAGAAATGATTACTCGTAAAACAAGGAAATAATCTGAAGACACAATGAGCGCGTGTATTTACAATAAAGGATCGAGATTTCTTAAACAATTGAATGGATTGAGGCAGAGGGTTCCTCATTTCGTATCTACAGCCGTGGCTCTTGTATGCGCCATCGCAACAGCACCACACAAACTCACGCGCGTGTGTGTCATTGATTATGACGTGGAATTTGCGGCGTCATTTTTACTCCGTTATAGAACTCATCATAAGAATGGTATTAATAGATTGCATTGATGAAACGCTGTCATCGTTCTAGTAACCATGATTCGGCGAAGCTTACGTTTGTATATTTCTGTCGTAGTACTTTGGAACGTAATGCAATCGACATTACTATTCGAAAATGACATTTTAAACTGTGATTTCTCCTGAATCAACTCGTACTAGATGTTCGTTAACGATCTGAAGTTAGCTGATTGGAAGGTTAGAAAACAGTTGAATTGTTTTGAACGAGACATTATCAAAGCCGCAATTTCATTTGAATTTGAAATTACGATTAGTAATTAAAGTATATATTTTGATAGCTAATTTAAATAATGAAAATATTCTTATTATAAACGCGATTAACAATGAAAATATAGTATTGTAATGGCAGGACGTATGATTTTGTCACTTACAATTATAGTAATAATAATAATAATACAATTATAATAGTAACAGACTTAAACTCGTTTTATTTATGTTTACGATACGTACAAAAACGTTATAAAACCATTTTACAGTTTTATGTTATGTACACGAGATGAATGCACAAACGATGTGTTAATATAAATACTCATGTGTATAATGATTTTATAAAAACTATTAATCATTAGGATAAGGGCGTTTATGGGAATTCGTCGTTACAAACTTACAAAAATGGAACTATATATAGATGTTTATCCTCTCTGTTCAACGAATTATCGTGTTAACAACGAAATAAGGTTTTCTTTCTTCTCTTACGATTCAGATCACAATTTACTAATTCCACTTGTCATTTCCTGCTGTAGGTAATGATTGACGTATTATTTATAACTTTCTTAATATAAAATTGTATCGTGATTGGTTTTTGATCTACTTTTTAACAGATCATGGGAATATAAAACATAAGGCTATGATATGTTTTATGAGATATCTTGGACGAAAAATTGTTTGAAGAATAAACAATAGCCTCGGAAACACTTCTCACTAAAATAAAATCCCTAGAAGCCTCTAAAGATATCCTGAGGTTTCGAAACCACGCAAAATAATGTTCAGACTCTTTGTTTTAAGCATCGGAGTGCAACACCATTATTACAGTTTCTTTATAATCAATAATACAGTTGCAAATTTTAATTCAATGTTGGTATCCATATTTCTCTCTTCATATGTATGCGTGTAAAAATGGCTACACGCTCATCATTTCAAAATGTATTATAAGAATTCACGTTGTACGTTATGTTTATCATTAAATGATAGTATTATTGAAAACAATATCAGGGGTAACAAAATATACTTAAAAGCTAAATTGTAATTTTATAAATCCTAATTGTTAAACTATAATAATGGTCAACAGAAAAGTCTCTCTTTTTGGGACAACAACAAAACGGCATTAGTTCTCCTTTTTTTCTACTTCCGCGTTTTCATGATTCGACGTGTGAGCTTGCACTTTCTCGTTTATCAGGTGAAGATACTGCGTAACCTGTAAAAATTCGAGTACGGAACTGATGTACGATTTTATGTTGTCCGTTTTAATGGTCCGCAGATGGTGCACTATATTCGAGTACACGCGCCGCGCAGCTTTGTTCGATAAGCGTCCAACAGTTTGCAAGGTGTGGAGAAGTTTATCCTCTTCATCGGATTTTACAGCTGAAACTGAAACAGAATGTTATTAACGCAATGATGTAACAATAAAGAAACACATTATTTATCTCGAATCTTTTCATTGATATTAAAAATACTGATTGCTATTAATGTATTATCGTTAATTTATTAACGTTAAAATATTTGATTATCAATTTGACTAATATTAATGTAAATTAATGTTTAAAATTTACTAAATTTGGTATCATTAATTTTTTTACAAAAGCATCGTTATACTTTTATTAATTGTCAAACAAAAACTTCTAAAGGAATCATATTTTGGTCATTTCATTATTAACCAGAAAACAAAATATTACGTCGAAAATTTTTAATAATATCCACCTACCAAAATGGAAAGTAGAGAATTTTCATATTTACAGACTCCGTTTGCTATGACATAATATTTTCGCTCGCGAAATATTAATCATGGTTTCATACTGTTTGCGACACTGTGTATTGACCTACCTATCGAATGTTCATTCTCAGTCGTCGCAGGAAAATATTTATCGATCAACTTATCGACAACAACAGCTGTGTTATCCAAACCCTTGACAGCTGCGCTACCATAATACGTTCCTAAGATCTGATTCGCCTTGTTCCAGCTGATATCCCTCAAATTGACGGCCTGCGCCGTTATTAAATCGTTAACGTGCGAAATGCTCCAAACAGCTGGCTGAACAGTTTGAAGAGCCAGCATGTACGCGTTCTCCAATATCTGAAATAAGAAAAAGAAACATTTCAATTATACATTTATCTTATTCGTCACAGTTTATTCCTATAATTAAATTTCTTCAAAGAAGAATATTTTCAATTTCCGGCATATAGGAAATATATATTACTTTCATTAATCTCGTTCAGAGTTGTACTTTTATTTTTCTTTTAACAGAAGTACCAATTTTTAGATCGAAATTCGATGAAACAGTGATCAACGCGGAGCGTTATTGCGAACACGTTTCATAATGAAAATAATCGAATTTATAAATAATTTGTTAAACAATCGTATACAATAAATGAAACACTAAATATATAAATTCCTATATAATAAGGGAAAATTTTAAGTTACTGGCATCCAATTAACTCTCATCAATGATCGAATTCATCCTCGAGATTATTAATAACTATTTACAGTATCCCATGATCGTAATGAATCCTTTATTTACGGGAAAAATTTTCGATTCCTAACCTGCTCGGGTTTCTCTTTGACCATTGGTACTTTTTCTTCGATTTTGTCAAGACCGAGGCACAACGTGTGGTCGACGAAGTGTATAGGGTTCTCGAGTTTCTTGGCGATGGGCACGGCGATGGGTACAGCTTGTTTCGTCGCGGTGCTTAAAGAAGCTTCAGCCGTGGTTAAAACCCAGTGCACCAGCTGATGGCAGTCTTTCACCCGAGAATACTGCTCGGCAGATTTAGAAAGCGCGCTTTCCACTATCGGAAGCCCCAGAACACGGTAAACGATCTCGATGTGAGGCAACTGGGGTACTTCGGTTGCCATTTTCGCTCGATTTTATAGAATACCAGACAAGGTATTAGACGAGACTCGGATAGGAAATCTAAAACAGAAGAACGTTCATTTTCTTTAAAAATATTTTACATCTTCGTATTGTTCATCGTCGTAGATGTATTTTTAATTAACTTCCAACAATCCAGTATGCTTTCGTAATGTGATTAATCTGTACGGAACTATTAGAATGTGACGAAAGAATTTTTATTTAGATTTTCATAACGTAATTTGAGAGACGAAGCAAGGATATGTTAGATGAAATGATATACGAATAAAATACTTGAAATGTTTTATTTTTATGCAAACAGTAATTTGAAAATGCATATTGTATAGACAAATAAAATAAAATTAATGGATTTTGAAGAGTAACAATTAATAATGGCAGATAGAATTTCTATAAAAATTCGAATTCCTTGAAATTCTAGATTGGATATTGAAAATATCAATAACTTGATAAATATTTTCAATTTATACGATGTATTCTCTAGAAATTCATTCTTAGTTTATACAAGCTTTTCAAAGTCTGTTTAAAAATCTGTTTCTTATTATTTTATATTAATTATTTATATATGTTTATAAACACTAAAGTCATAGTAAGTTCCATTTAAACGGTAGATCATTTAGTCAGGTTTCCCAGCGAATGTGGAAAACAAATAACGTACCGGTGATATCGCGGGGGTCAACGCTCTTAATGGACATAAGATGCACATTACACACACATCTATCCAGGTATCTCCTATATATAGCGCTAAAAGTACGCACGTTACTTTCCCAGCTTTCGCTGAAATCGTGATCTTAGACAAGGTTTTGTGCGTCGCAGAATGGTGTAACGCAAGGTCAAGCGTTCGAAATCGAAAGTTGTAACGCACTATTCCGAGGCAAAACAACTTTCTCCATCCCATACTATTTCCAAGTTGAATCACACCACGTTTCATCAAATATGATTCGTTCGTTAATTGATACTTGAACCACACAGAAAAAAAAGATATTCAAGTATCATTACAAAAATCAAAAATAAATTATGCATCAAATTACATACAACAAAGTAAGCCATTATAAAGTAAACAAACAAAAAAAGAAAATTTTATTCAAATCCAATGATACGTAACAGTGTCGACGATTACGAACGTTCAAAAGAATCGACTCGTGCGTACAATCAAGGCGAATCCTGACGTTAAATTTTGCAAATACGAGATTGTTCATATTTTTATTACGTCTTTTTTTTGACTGGTGAATATTATTTGGCGAAATAGGTGGTTATTGCGTGACACGATGAAATTTACTCACGGTGTTGTTTTTAATCGTGCCGGCTTCCTTCAGCTACGCGCGTAGATTCCTCGACAATCGAAACGCGAGTAGAAATGTGCCTCGTTGAATAGCACCGCCGATACTTATAACCTTGCCACCGCCTGCGCGCTGTAGTTCGTACGAGCCGACCAATGGAGATCAACCGATGGAGATCCATCCGGTGTATTCAAACATGTGCCACGGGACTCCAAAGTCCGCTCGTACCGAGAACGCTTATAATGTACGTTATCGGCAGCACGCCGCAAGTCGGAACTGTCACGCACGTACGAATTACGTGAATATAAAGAAACATTGCAGTAAAACACAACGTTGAATTCTTTTTTTCGGTAATCTCTTATAGACACAGTAAATTTTATTCGTTTCGTTTAAATTTGATTTTCTTTGATTTTATTTGAAAAATTGGTTTTCCTAATCGCAATTCTTCAATTACAAAATGATTGATGCAATGTACTTAAAATTACGTACTAGTAAATAATGACTGGTTTTGGTTTCTTTTTATTTCGCAACTATTGAGATTTTAAAGTTATTAGATGCTCGATATGGGTTTGAAAGTAAATGGTCCCACTTGGATTTATTAATTAATTTTCGTTCGGTCTTGTCGCAAAAATCTGCTGAATGAAAATCGGTAACCAACGGCAATCGTTTTGGCCTTTGTACCAACTGATTTTATTAAGGACTTTGCATCAAGCGTTTTGTAAGTGAAGAATTGCGATTAGACAAACAGTTTTTGAGACTATTTCATAATTTTTTAATGTTAGTTATGAAACCGTTTAAACGAAATTTTGTTGTATTTATGAGAGATCAATGGAAAAAAGAAATCCAATGTTGTGTTTTATTGAAATACTTATTTATTTTCATACAATTTGTAGGTAAATATATTGTTGTTGCATTAACGAATTCGTGGATGCATTATTATTGAACATAGCAATCTAGTATTTAATTTTTCATT